AACACCTGCTACATTTCCATCATGAACAGAAGCGAGATGCCCAGCTTTGATAATCTGGCCCGACTGGCGCAGGAGAGCAGGGTAAGATTCCAAAGGACTGGCAGGCTCTTGAGCCAGGAGTTTGTGGGGCTGTTTCTTAATGTTCTTTTACCTTCTGCAGASGACGAGGTTGTCACGAGTGGCAGGATCTCTTTGTCTCCACRGAAGTGGGGCCTGAGAATTTGTTGTAGGACTGCTTTGCTGAAAGATAAAAGGGTCCTCTCTCAATTGCTCTTTCACAGAGGATGTTGAGCTCTGTGGCCTCCTGGACAAATCGTTGCTCTGAGGAGCCCTTCAAGGGCCTTCATTGTCTTGGCATGCCCAGATCTCAAAGTCCTTTGCAGCCTTTTCAGTACCAAACCGCTTTGCTCAGCTCAGAACTTTRCCTTGCGYTTYGCTTTGTGCCGYGAGAGAGCGTCTCCCTGTTCCACGGCCGTTCCCCCAGATTGGTGGCSTGAGCCACAACAGGAGGTGTGTGGCCGTGGCTGAGGGAAGAGCAAGAGAGCAGCGGGAAGCCGAGGGCATGGGAAGGAAACACAGGCACACAGGGACCTGGGCCAGGCGGCAAAGGGCACTGCGGGAGGAAAAGAGAGAGGCAATTCATTTGGAACAAAGCTCCAGGGAGCCGTTTRGAAAGGCCTGTGCCACTGGAGCACCCAGGGGTCTGCGAGCGCTTTTAAGCATTGCTTGTGAATAGTGTGAGAGCAAATGTATTGGCCCGGGTKTGCTGCTGCCCTCTTTAGTTCCTGTTTAGAACRGGCTGCAGGAAGAGGCTTCTCCTGCCAGTYTTCCAGCACACAGGCCGAGCACCTGTGAGGGCCRAGGGCAGGGAATGAGCAAATGCTTCGGAAGGAGCTCGKGCTGAACAGATCRGCCGCGTTCCTCCTCTTCAGAGCTTTCGCTGCGCTTCCACTTCCCCTCAGGCCCCTTGTACCTTGACTCCCKTAGAGCCAYTTACCTTTTGAGSGGCCTTCAAGGTTTGCTAGTTGTCCTACAGGCCTCTAGAGGACTAAAATGTRTTTCCAAAGGCAGTTGGAGGTAAAACAGCAAGTCCCAAGTCGTGATTCCTGAACTAGGAATATGCCTGGCGGGCAACAGGTCTTGGCACTGGTCTTGCTGAATRCTGTTAYKTTATGCTWAGAACCAGATCGGTCATGGAAGACCTKCCAGGAAGATCACCTTTGTCGCCAATGGATTGGTCAACAACCTCAGCTCTTATGGAGCCGATGTCTTCTCTATGTGCAGCGGACTCACCACCTACATGGCTTACGAAGTTCACGGTGAGTGCAAGCAAGGCAATTCTGAGTGCTACTGACCAGGC